GCCAGGTGGCATCATTGATGGACTCAAGTGTGGCAGCGGTAATGAGGTTGGCCCAGGATCGGACATTGTTTCGTTCTGCTGTGCATGGGGTCGCTATGAGTCGGTTCCGACTCGATGGCACCTGACAACAACAAGGTGGAGGGTCAGAGGAAATGAGGAAGACCCCCCAACGAGATGGATTGGCCAAGTGACAGCATCGATGAACTCAAGTGTAGCAACAATAGTGAGGTTGGCCCAGGATTGGGCAGTGTTTCATTCTGCTGTGCATAAGGTCGCTATAAGTTGGTACCGACTCCATGGCACCTAACAACAACTGTGCTATTTATGTTACAGCAGCACTTAGAGAACTAAGATAGGTGTGTAACGATAGTATCTACTTTTTAGTAGCTACTATTTAGATAGTAGCTCCTACAACTAAATGTCCTATCAGTACTATTATGCATTTATTATCATTTATTTTTAAAATATCCCTTTAATAAATGCCACTGGTATTGTTTTGTCTTCCAGTTGCTGGACTAGCCTACAAAAAGGATTTATCTGGAGCTTCATTGGACCTGTTTGTGTTGTTGTCGTGGTAGGTTTGCAGTATGTATTTTCTACAGAATTTAAAGACCAATGGTGGTGGTGGTGGTTCTGACTCATAGAGACCCTCTACAACATTTGCAAAGCAGTAAATATTTACAGGATCAGAAAATCTCATCTGTCTCCTGCAGAGAAGCTGGTAGATCCAAACTGCTGAGCTTTCAATTAGCAACTCAACTCTTATCCCACTATGCTACCAACACTACTCTTAAAAATCAATACAGGTACCAAATAACCTGATCCTTACTCTAAGATGGCAGATATGTGAGCATATTTCATGTCCACAGGAAGAGAGAAGACTCTCCATGTGTCTCTAGTACCTGGCACATCATAGGTGCTCTTATGGATTTAATTGTGTCCCCCCCAAAATAGGTGTTGCAGTCCCAACCACTGAGCCTGTGGGTGTAATTACATCTGGGAATAGAGTTTTCTCTGTTGTATACATGAGGTCTTTATCTATGCAAGGTGTATCGTTTTTTGGTTTTTTTTTTTAACCTTCTTTTTTTTTTCTTTCTTAAATGTTTTATTGTGAATTATGTGATAGTTTACATGGGAGAACATTAATTTTATATTCATTCTATCATATAGCGTCTCATTGCCATGGTTACAATCCCCTCCATGCAATCCTTCCCCCGTGCCCCCCAGGTCTTCAGCACACAGCCCCTCTCCCTCTCTGTATCTAAAGTCTCCAGCTGCTCCATTGCTCAACGTCATCATCTCTGCCTCCATTTCAGGCATCACTGCTTCTCTGGGTAGGGTCCTGCTCTCTGCTCTTCTCCCTTGATGGTCCTAGGGACCTCCGCTCCTAGGCTGAGAAGTTAATCACTCCCCTCCTTGCTATAAAACGTCTACCTT